CACTGAGCTCAGGCATTTAAAGGCAGGAGGCCACCTCTGTGCCCAGGCTGAGGGTAGAGCCGCAGGTCAGGCAACCCTGTCTCTCACGGCTGCTGCCTGAAAGACCTGCCCCGGGAGCCGCTCCGCCCCCTGCACGTCGCCTGGGCAGGAGTGGTGCAGCTGGGTGAAGCCGCCTAAGTTTCAGGGGTCCTGATTAACACAGCAGAGCCCAGACCATCCTGAGCAGCAGGGCAGCTCCCTTTGCAGAACAATGGAGAAGCATCTAGGCAGGAGGGAAGTCCAGCCAGGGTGGCGCAGGAATCGAACATGGAGAGGTGGGTGGGCGTGGTGGCTCTGGTCAAGCTAGGTGCCTGCTGAGGGTCACCCACACTGAGCGGGAAGCAAGAGGGGGGGACAGCATCCCAAAGAGGGATCTGATGCTCTGGTACAGGAGCCCAGAGGGTTCAAACCAGGGGCGGGACCACTCACTGCAGCAGGAACTCGGGCTGGGGCTGGGCTAGGAGTGAGCCACAGGGCAGGAGCATCTAGAGGAGGCCAGAGCTCCACCGAGCCAAGCAGCACCCCCTGCCCTGCGCAGCCCGTGTCATCCACCCCCGTTCCCCACACTGGCCACTGGGCTCTGGGGCCCCGGCAGTCCACTCCCCCACACACCGGGACACAGCCCACGTCCTCCCAGAGCACCACGGCCCTTCGGTCTCTAGCCATCCCTTCCTGGGCCCAGAGGGGAGAAGCAACTTGCCTAAAGCCTCCCAGCGGAGCCAGGCACAGCTCGGTGGGCAGAATGTGGTACTACTCTTCCTCTCACAACTCTGCTTCTCGGATCTCGGGGCCCGTGGGGTTTCTGTCCCACCAGAAACCGGCCTCTCGCTGAATTGGCAGCTGCGTTCAAGAACATATCAGCTACCAACAAGGCCTCAGTGCTATGGTGTTTATGCGGGGATCAGGAAAAGATGATCCGGGGTCTCGGTGTGAGCTGCTAATGTTGGCCCCTTCCTGAGTTCTGATGGAGGCTTCAGCCCTGTGTTCCTGGTAGTCAGAAGGTCATCTGGGATGCATGATGGAAATGCTGTGGCTCTGCAGCCCCTCTGGGCCAATAAGACACACTGAGGAAAAGCAGGCTTTCTACACCAAGGCTCAGAGTCTGGAGCAACCCCTTGTACTCACCAAGTTTCCTAAGCTGCCCTAGCTCCTGTTCCCACCACAGGGGCAAACTCATGGCTTGTCTCTGGCAAAGCACAGCTCTCAGGTAAACCTATATCTCCGTGTAGATCAATTTGCTCAGTGCCCCAGAACCAATGACATCAGCAGAACTTGGCTCCCGTTCAGCCCTCGAAGCAGTAACTGGCACCATGCCCTTCCCATGTGGAATTCCTGCCTTGGAGCCAGCTGACAATGGGCTGAATCCCTAGAATCCTGAGCTCCATTAAACCTCTCCTCCTTTAAACTGTGGGCGTTGAGCACTGTGTCCCAGTGACGGGAAAGCTGACCGATATGATTCCTGGTACAGCGAGGGAAGGAATCAAGACACATGTCAGCCTGGGAACAGCGACGGACTGGGGCTGAGAGAGAAAGGATTCCAAGAGGCGCTCTGTCGGGCACACAGAAGTCGCCAGTGGCGGATGGTGGCGTCTGGGTCATGCAGGTGACCAGGCAGCTCTCTGCAGAGGCGGGCTAAGAAGGGCCCAAGAATCAGGACTGGGACCTGGGCTCCTCCAGGAGCCCCAGCACACCCCACGCTGCCTGGGGACCCTTGTCCTGGCTCTGGACTGCTGCCCAACAGAGAACAGCGCGGCTCTTGGGTGTGCAGGGAGGGGAGGATCCCAGAGGACCCTTCTCAGACTCACAGGGTCTGGAGCAGAGTGCACACAAAGGACGGAAAGCATTTCCAAAAGGAGCAGCCCTTACTGCCTGACCAGGATGCAGGATGCAGGCTGGCGTGGCCAGGGGATTCGGTGTTGGGGGTCACAGGTGACCTTGCTGCGTGCCTGGCCCACGCCCCAGTGGTCTCCTTCAATGTCACCTCTGGGTCTCCGGGAACCTTTCACACTGACAGCGCTGGCAGGTCCTGGCCTCAGGCACCTCTGCTCATGAAGCACACACCTCCCCAGCCCAGGGGCGGCCTCACGGCAGATCAGCCGCTTTCTTCCTCTGCTTCCGGGCCGAGAACTCAAGCCACAGAGCTCCTCCCAGGACCCTCATCCCCACCGGTGGAAGCCTGGGGTGCCAGCCTCCCTGTCTGACGTTAGCCCTGGGTCTCTCATCTGCGGGGGGACTCTGGGCCCAACTGGCCTCAGTTTCCCCACCTATATTTTGGGGGTCAGGCTTCATTCCCAGAGCACGGAGAGGGCACCCCAGGAGGCCAGGCTGGCGGGGCAACTCTAGGCCCCTCTCTTGACACCCTGGGTCACATATGCATCGGGAGCAGGAAGATGAAGAGGGCTGGGGTGGAGCCTGACACGGGAGGGGCTCCTGTCTGGGCAAGAGGGACACCTGTCACCAGGGACGGGAACAAAGACGGGGGGGGCCCTCAGCCCAGTCAGCCACTCAGGGGCCTTCCCAAGGTCAGAGCCTGACTCTCCAGGCTGCCCTCACATGGTCCTCTGTCCTCCTGCTCCCAGGCTCCCTGCTACGCCTCCACCACCTCAGCTCAGAGCCCAGCTCCGGGCCTTTGCCCTTGCTGCCCCTCCGGAGAGCTGGACAGCCTGCTCCTTACAGCCTTGGGGCTTCTGCTCCAGGAGGACCTGCTCAGGGCCTCCCATGCTGGGCTCCCGCGTCCCCGCCCCTGCTTTACTTCTCCCCATGAGGTTCAGCTGACAGAGCGCAAGCTCCACGCAGATCAAGACGTCTGTCTGGGATTTCCTGAGTAACTACTATATGCTGGCCGTCATATCTGGCCCTGTCATCCACAATAGTAGATAAACAATCACACACACACACACACCCTCCACCCCTGGCCCTCACACTGCAGCCAGCGACAAACACGACTCGAGGAAAGGCAGGAAGTGACCCTTCCTCAGCTGCTGAGTCCTGGGGAACCTGAGCTCACTTCTGGGTCTGTCTGCAGAACCACGGCTGGGCCAGCCTCGGCCCCTGTCCCTGCTGCTCTCAAGGCTCGAGCTGTTGCCATCAGGGCGACCTCACCGCGTCCTCCCCACGACCCTGCGAAGGTGGCCTGGATCCCCCTCCCCACTGGACAAATCAGAGCGGAGACGCACAGAAATCCCACGTCTCGCGGTAACCGGCACCCTCTGCACCAGCAGAGCCTACCCCGGAGCTTACGCAGAGGTCTCTCACTCAGCCTCCCTCATGCCCACTGCACAGGGAGCAAACCAGGGCACAGGGAGGTCTGCAGTACACTCCAAAATCACAGCCGAGGAAGGAGCAGCATTGCAAGCCCGCAACACCCGGGTGCTCATCGCAGAGACCAAGCAGCTCTGCAGCACCGGAAGCAGATGTGAGGGTGGGACTGAGCCACTGCCCGCCGCTGTTTGGCTATCTCTGCAGTGGCCGGTGCTTATGAACACTTGCTAGGCCTTAGGAAACTGTCTCCTGTGCACTCTCAACTGTCATGACTTATGTCTTCTCATTTCACACAGGAGGGACCAGAGAGGCAGCCAGCTTCCCTAGGATCACACAGCAAGGTATGGCGGTGTGGAAGCCGGAGCGAGCTGGAGCCAGAAGCCTGGGCTCCTCACTCCCAGCCCAGTGCTCTTCTGACTGTCCTCAGGCAGCTGGGAGCCGCCTGAACAAAGAAAACCTCTGCCTCTCCTAAGCAGTGAAGCAGCCTCTAATCCTTGTTATTAATGTAAATAATATTCCTGCAAAGGAAGCGAGCGCCCAGCCTTCCCCAGGGCTCCGGGGATTACATCCGTGGTGTCCGACGCAGCAAGGGCAATAACCAATTGACTCTTATTAAAACCCCAATAATGCTGGTGTGATTGCAGCTCTGATAAGCCCGCTGCTGTGAGCCGGGGTCAACCACATTAGGAAAATGTAATTAGACTAATAAATTCCGGGCAATCCTTCGGTTTTTTTTTTTCTTCCTCTTCACTCCAAGGAGGAGCCACGACGAAGCCTCATTACCCACTCAGCAGCCCACGGTGCACTGTGCTGCAGAGCAGCAACCGAGACCCCTGGGCACCACGGCTTTGCCCAGGATTTGCTGGGCAAACAACAAAGGCTCCAGGGGTCCTGGGGGTGGGGTCAGGGGTTACTAGAGGACCCAAGTGGAGCCTCAAGATCCCAAAAGCACAGCTGCCAGGGGCTGAGGAGGGGGCAGACTCAAATCCCAGATGCCATCCTAGCCCCTGAGTTGCTGGGGGAAGCCTGCCTTCCGGGGTGAGGCCGCCTGACAGGAAGTCTCTGTTTAGAAAAGACCCCAACTCCTGATTCAAAGCACCGCCCACCCCACACCAACGCTAACTTGGAAAGTTAAAATGTGTTCAGAATCTGAGCATTATGAAAACTTGGCAGCTACTCTCTCAGGAATTTGTCCCCCAGAAACACAAACTGCAACAGAAAACCACTCCCCACAGCTGGGCGCGGCAGCTCACGCTTGAAATGCCAGCACTCCGGGAGGCTGAGGCAGGAGGACTGCAAGTTCAAGTCCAGCTCAGACAACTCTCCTCGCGGTGAGAGTCTGTCTCAAGAAACAAAGCATTTTTAAAAGAAAAAGAAAGCCAGCCACAGCCTACCAGGCTATACTTTCCTCCTTTGCTCTGCAAAACTCAGCAGCTGCAACCCTGCCCTCCGTCTCTCCCCTCGGCTTCTCTCTCGCTCTCTTCCCGCTCTGTCACGGCTCTCTCGCTCTGGTTCTCTTCCCCGGCACACAGGGTGGCAGATGTGGGCATCAGGGGAGCAGCTGGCACGCAGAGCGCGCACACACTTGTACAGAGAACTTCGTCTTCCCCAGATAACACACTGAATTTGTGGTCATATTTATGCATCTCTTAGCCATTCGGCACACATAAAATCCCACTACCACTTTATCAGATGCCTACCTGCTCCGTGTGCACCCCGACAAAGCGTTTCGTGTTCCTCCGCACACCCCGTGGCTTTACGGCGCCGGTCTGCGCAGCATAGAACTCTGGAGGCGCACGTGTGCTGTGTGACGGTGGGGCAGGCCGCTCCTCACACGCAGAGCACCCTTCGAGGTGAGGGCATCGTGACAGGGGGCCGCTGTCCCCAACGCGGGCACAGGGACGTGACGTGAGAGCGGGTCAAGGCTCCCCAGTGGCGGGTGCTCTGCTAAGGACTCTGTGGCCAAGTTCAAGGCTGCAGAGCCAAGTGGTAAAGGCTTCGGAGTCACAATTCCTGGGCTCAAAGCTCAGCTCTGTGGCTCCTTGGTTTTGCGACCTCAAGCGAGTCCCATAACGTCCCTGTGCTTCAGTTTCTTCATCTGTGAAACGGCACAGCTCACAGAGAAGGGTGAGGATTACAGAGGTAGCCTGTGGAGAGAAGCTGAACAGCAATAAAAGCACAGTTACTGGCGCGGGGGATGTAGCTCAGTGGTTCCGGCACCTGCCTCACAAGCACAAGGTCCCGGGTTTGATCCCCGGTGAGCCCAGGACTGGACAGGGTGGAGTTGGGGCACGAGCTGCTGTCCTCAGATCCAGGTTCCAACTCACACTCCTCCTGCTCTGTGGCCTGAGAGGTGACCTGGGCCCGCAGCCAACATCTACTCATCACAGTGATGTTGCCAGCTCCCCGTGGGGTATCGCTGGGGTGAAGGGGGAGCCCTGTCTGAGCCACTCGGGCCAGGGCCCAGAAGGGCACACTGGGCTGGGAGTAGCAGCCCCAGCTTCCGTCTTTCGAACCTTACCACCTCCCAACACCCTGTCTGCAGGAGGAGACCCCTGCTGTGGTCACATCCGGGGGTCACCCTGGGCACCACAGCCTCGTCTGTGTCTCTCCATGGGTTCTCCCTGTCCCCCCACTGACAGGGCCCTGAGCCCCTGCACTGCAGACCCCACCTTCCCCGAGTGGTGCTGGCACCCAGCTCTGCGGAGGACCCGACAACAGCAGGCTCCTCGTGGACAGGCCACGGCCCACAGGGCAGCTTCTCCCTGGCCCCCCAGGACACGCCAGGCCCTGGGACCAAAGGCCAAGACCAGGGTGGAAATGAGTGAAAGGCCACAGGCCTACCTGTGCCGGGTGCCATGCCCGACCCCAACACCCCCAACCCCCAGCAAAAGCCGAAGCCAGGTGCCTGTACATCCTCTCCTGCTGCTCCACGGGAAGGGGGGCCGGCACCCAGCTCCGGATGACTTGAACGAAGGGGCTGCAGGAGGACAGGACCCCCCAGCTACCCAACCCAGAGGCGGGCTGCTCTCCAGATAGTGCCACCCACCTTGGGGCCCACCCCAGACGGCAGCCGGCAGCTCCCCGGCACCTGCCTCCCCGCTGGCAAAGCTGCAGACAGGCACCACCCGCTCCACAGCCCAACTCCCCCCTTTCCGTCACGCCGGTCATCAGCTCCAGGGGACATCCCGGGTCACACAGGACAGGGCCTGGCTCCGTGCCTGGGGACAGCTACTGTGCCCCTCCTTCACCCAACGTGGCTTTCTGCACCAAATATGTTACTGCCTTCACCCTGGCCCCTCAGAATCAAACAGCAGTGATGGAGAAGGTAACATCCGTGACTAGGAATGAACAGGTAATGGGCGTTTTGTCTCCCCGAGGCAGCACCAGCCCCGGCTGAATCCATCCGACTGCCTGCTTTTACACCGGCGGCCGGAGAGCCAACAACGGTAGCTTCTGCACTTATAAACGTCGGGGGGCGGGTCAGAAAAAGAAGAGTATTTCACTGCTCAGGGAGTGTATGTGCGATCCGGACTCCAGTACCGCAAGTGAGAGTTCCTGGAACACAGCCACGCCCAGTCACTTAGGTTCCTCTCCAGCCCCTCCGAGTTGTCACCCCAATCCTACAGGGACCCAGAGGCCAGGGAACGCCCGGACCCACAGCCGCTGCCGGCACACCCGTGCTGGGCCCGCAGGGCCTCTCTCCCACACACTCCTCTGTCTCTTCCTCCTTCCGGTCAGAGCCTCCCACGGCAGCTCTCGCACACACAGCCCAGTGCCGCTCAGTCGCTCTCCCTCCCCACCCGAGGTTCATCTCACCCCACTGCTCACGAGAGAAACGACCGGCTCACTCGCTACCACAGCCTCTAGACCCCTTTCTGACACTGCGGGCTCTTCTAGGCCTCTCCTGGAAAGAGCCTGTAACCCAGCGCTTCCCAGACACGACAGGAAGTGACCCCCAAGCACTTTCCAGGGCAGAGACCGAGACAGCAGCAAAAGTGACAAAGTTGGCCGCTGGGCCAAGGTTCTCTACTATTGACGAGAGCCAACAAATCCTGCCATTGCTTGGGCCGCCCTCTGGCTTCAGAGACACCTGCCCTCTCAGGTCCTGCAGTTAGAGTAACTTCCCCAGGGCAGCTCCCCAGGTGATGGGACTCTCAACACCACGCCCCCTTCTGCTCGCACGCGTGCGCGCTCTCTCTCTCTCCCCCCTTCTGCAGGGGTGGCATCCTCTGTTTCCATGGAAACCAGGCTAGGCTGCCTGCAGCA